GGTAAACATACCAGTAAGTATGAGACTTACAGGTATGCTCACTTGTTAACTGACCCTTGCTGGTGAGCTCTGGAGCAGCACTGGCAGGCAGGCAGCTGGATCCCGCAGCTCAGGTCATGGTGGGGCTAATGGGCAGGCCCTAAGTTAAAATGGTTAATCGGTTAAGTGCTAGTATCCCTAACAAATACTTTTGGTTAAGGAAAGCTGAATTTGGAAACCCATTTAATTTTTGCTCAATTCTGAGTAATATATATTACAAAAATGATAGAGGAATTTCAACCCAAATGTTGAATTTGCCCATTGATCTTGGACCTTGTGAGTAGAATATACACAGGCCAGGTCTACGCTGTGGGTGAAGGTCGGTTTAAGATGCTCAACTCCAGTTACATAAATAAGTAAGCTGGACTCAACATATCTTAAGCCATGCTTGGTGCCATCTCTACAGTGGGAGGTTGATGGGAGAAATGCTCCCATCAACTTCCCTTACTCCTCAAAACAGCAAGGACTATCAACCCCAATCGAGGCACCCTCAGCATTCAATTTAGTAGGTTTTTATTAAACCTTCTAAATCAAACCCCAGAAGATCAGTCACTGGAGTGGAGATCATCCGGTAAGTGGAGATGTGGCTACAGATTACACTCACTTTGTGTGCAGAGTAATACTGGGTTTTAGTTGTTATATGCTGCCTGACTACCAAGTAGTGTAAGTGTGAGGTTCATGGTATATATAGCATGTTAGAGTTCCACTATGATAGTCTCCTGCAACAACTTGAAAAGTTGCTCCTGCATTGGATAGTGCAACAATGTAGAAGTCTACAATTTCAAGTGTTGAATAATAGCAAATGGCTAGTATAAACAGAAATGACTGACATTTTTCATAATAGTTCATTAATACTGTAAATAACTGAAAATTGCTAGTATCTATTTGGTCAGATGACTTACAAATTGGAAATGGATACTAGAATGTAGCCCAGATAGGCGATAGGGGATTCTTTTTGTGAAGTACAGAAAAACTACTTGCCTGCTTCAGATTGTTTCAGCAGCAGTTTATACCACTTTGTAGTCTTGCAACATCCTATCCTTGGAAGGTTAAAAGATGTGGTCTGTAGAAAAAGGAAGGGTAATAATTTTCTTATTAAATGGTCTAGAGAACCACTGCTAGAAATAAGGTAAATGTCTGTCTTTAGTGCTAATTATTAGCATAAAATATAGTTCAATAAACATTTGCTTGTCGACTAGCCCTTAACATCCTTAGCTTCTACTATACTGTAAAACCACATCTTGTTTTGGATAGTTAGTCGACTAGTTGAATCCCCCCCTCGCCACCTCTATCAGATAGATGCAGCAAAGGCGGGGGAGGAGGGGTAGAAGGAATATTTCAAAGTGGCAATGCCACACAGCTGAGTTGGGGATTAGCTGGGTGGCGCTGCTGCTTTAAAACCCCAAGATGGCATTTCAAAGAGGCAGCCATTGCACAGCTGATTCCTCGGATCAGTTCTGCAGTGCTGCCCCTTTAAAATGCCACTTCGGCATTTCCCCAGGACCCAGGATTAGCTGAAGAGTCCCCTGCTGACTCCGGGTTCCATGAGGGTGCTGTAGCTTTGAAATGCACAACAGCCCCTGTTGGAGCCCTTGTACATTTCAAAGAAGGAATGAGGAAATGCCTATTGACTATCGAACCATAATTCAACATCCTTAGTAGAAGCTGAGGCTGTGCACTGGGAGACAAAAAGAAAAGATAATTATGTATTCAAAAGATACAAATGCATTTCTGATTACATAGGATTTCTATTTAAACACCTCTGTTGAAAAATAGAGAATTAATTAGATATGTCACTGATTAATTGATTCATACTCTTTTTTTCTTCTGACCATAAGAGTCCCCAAAATTGACTAAATTATTTCATTTTTGTTTAGACCGTCTGGCACCCCTATGTGAAGCTGCACATACTGGATCCCTGTTGTTTTTCTTCTTCTTCCTGCTTCCTCTGACTCTCAGGAAGTGAGCTCTTGCTCCCAGCTGCCCAGGGGAGGGGCAGAGCAGGAACCTTTCCCCTCACTTCCTGAGAGTCAGAGGAAGCAGGACAGAGAAGAAAAGCAACAGGGATCTGGAATGTGCAGCTGCAGTTCCTCTACTCCCTGAAATGGCAGCAGGGAGAGCTCAGGACTGCAACAGTCTCAGATGGAGGAGGTGCCCCCAGTCAGCCCCTTTAACCTGCCTGGCGGCTTGCTGTTTAGCGTGGCAGCTTGCAGGAAGCCCTGGGAGCCCATCTGGGAACGTGCTGTCCCACTGCAGCCAGTTTAAAAATACAAAGGCAGCAGCCCACAGAGCAGCCTCTGTCTGTGCTGAGCCTAGGTTCACCATGAACAGAGGCTGCTCCATGGCAGCCTTTCCTGCCTCTCTCCCACCTCCCCACACTTCTGCCGGCTTTTAAGTTGGCTGCCTCGAGCACTGGCTCCTGCCTAGCTCCCGTCCCCTGCTGTCTCTGTGGGAGGCAGCAATGAGAGGACAGGGGACTCCATGAAGCTAGCTTGCGAGGAGAGCCAACGTTAAAGCCAGCTCCCCCTCCCCTGCTGCCTCTGATAGACAGCAGTGCAAGGAGACAAGCAGCTCGTGTGAGCCAATACATGCATGGAACTGGCTTGAAAGCCTGCTCCAATCACCCTCTGTGCTGCTGCCTTTCTTTCAGAGGCAGCAGCATAGGGATGGGGAAGGCAAGTGGCTCTGTGGATCTGGTCCCCGTGGGCACTGGCTTCCCACACCCCTTGCTGCCTCTGAGACATAGGCTGTGGAGGGAGTGGGGAAAGGAATGTGTGTGTAGTCAATTACATGTTGACATCCTTAGTTTGCATTTCAGATTTCTAGCCTAGCTAGCATTCAATGGCCTTAAGTGCCATTTAAATTTTTTCTCACATGCCTTTATACAAAGACCTTCATATCCACGGTTATCCGCTCTTTATCTGTGGGTGTGGATATTTGCAGCTGCCCTTTTAAATATAGAAGCATAGTACAGTATTTTGCAGATACAGCCTCTGCAGGTTGACTATAGGTCATTTGGCCTGGGATTGTTTAACCCTTTCTAGCCATTTGCCCTACTAGACACAATATTTGTTGCAATTAGAATAGTGATATTAATAATGGTTTTTATGTTCATATTATAATCCGATAACACCACAGGAAAGCAGCAACAAATATATGCAGGTCTGTATGTAGGAACTGAGGATGAAGCCTGCTCAGTGGGCATGGACTTGAAAGAATTTAGCTGCCAGTTCTAACAAGTTTCTACGGGTGTGTCTAGACTACAGGGTTTTTTCGAAAAAAGTAGCCTTTCTTCGAAAAAAACTTCACCTGAGTCTAGACTACAGCCTCGTTCTTTCAAAAGTAAATCGAAAGAACACGGAATTTTTTTCGATCATGGTAAACCTTATTTTACGAGGAATAATGCCTTTTTTCGAAAGTACTCTTTTGAAAAAAGGTGTTATTGAATGCAAACTGTGCTTTTTTGATAGAGAGCATTTGCCGCTCTTTCAAAAGATTCTTTTGAGCATGAGAAAACTGAGGGGTGTGTGTGTGTGTGTGCAGTATTTTCTTCAGGGGGTGCCTTGAGGCTGAATTAATTATAGCTTGGCCAGATTTGGGTGAATTTTCTTAGGTTATGTCTCTGATATCATAGCAAATCTTTCTCCAGATTTCAAGTCCCTACTCTAAAACATGGAGTCATTAGATCACCTCAGTGAAATAATTATAGTATTTTTTTAAATGGGCAAAATATAGTTTTTCTTTACCTCATTCTTAGAAATGGCTTAAACACGTTAGCTGAAACTTTCAAGAAAAAATTCAGCTAGAGACAGACAGCTTGGAAAATTTCAGCCCAAATGATTAGTTAGTTTTATGAAGCTAAAAAAGCTTTGGGAAGTGTTAAGATTGCTAAATTATGAGTGTTGCCTACCTGTGCCACCTATATTGTGTTAACAAAAACTTGTCTACAAAGGAACAAACGTGCTTGAAATAACTTTTTTTGTTTTCCCTGTTTAAATATAGAAATGACTTAATTGTGGAGTTCTGTCATTATCACTCTTCCATTTGAATCTGTCCTTTTAATCCTGTTCTCTAAAATTGCATTATAAAAAGCATTGATTATTTTTTGTGACTTGCTTTGAGTATAACTGTTTTAAATATCTGACTGATTAATGCAGGTGCCATTTAAAATAATTTAATATATTATTGGGGTAATGGAAGCATCCATAATGGTTGTCATCTGGCTATCATGATCAGATATTGTATGTTGGGACTTTTTTTATGAAGTAACTGCCTATTTTAGGAAAACTAACTTTGTTAAACTTTTTTTTTTTTTTTTTTGGTAACTTGGTGTATGAATTCTGGTGTTTAAATACTGATCTTGAGTGAATAATTAAACAGTACTAAGATTAAATTGAACTTTAAACATTTTAAGATATTACTAATTATAGTAATTCACTGGTTAATTGTCTTCATTTTTAATATGGGAACACTTATCTTTTAAACAGAGATCAAATTTGTAGGTCAAATCTACCTCTCTGATCAAAAACATACATTATTTCATCATCAACTTTCTTTAGAATAGCTTTGTAGTGGCCCAGCTGCAGCTCTGCTCTCACCCCCAGACCCATGACAGAGGCCAAAGCTGGTGGTGGGAACAGAACTGCAGCTGGGCTGCACTGGTCGCAGTTGGATGCTGTTCCACTCCTGACCCTCAGACCCAGGCTTGGAACAGAGCTGAAGCTTGGGGCAGGGCTGGGAGCTGGGAATAGAGCAAAGTGGTGGACAGGAAAAGGCTGGGTGGTGCGCTGTCCCTGAATGTTGCTCCCTATTGTGCCCCACAGTTTGGGCACCTCTGCCTTAGGCTGTAGTTTTACTATTTATTATAGTGGTTTATCATTGGCCTAAACACAAAATATTAACATGGTGTACACACTTGTGATTTGAAGAGTTCATTTATTCTCTCTCTCTCTCTCTTGTAGGAATATATTAAGGGACTTTGTGAACCTGAATTAGAAGAAAAGGAATATTATCCAAAGGACATGCACTGCATTTTCGTTGGCGCACAGAGCCTGTTTCTTAACTGTCTTATTCAGGATACCTGTGCAGATATAACAGTGCAGGAAATAGGATTGCTTATTATTAAGGGTGGTGCAGAAGCTGTTGTAATGGCTAGAAGTCATATTCAGCAATTTGTGAAACTCTTTAAAAACAATGAAAGCTTATTAAGTGACAAGGAATCAAATGTAAAAAAACAATTTAAACAATTTGTGGAAGCACATGCAGATAAATATACAATGGACTTGTTGATCTTGCCTAGCTCACTAAAAAGAGAACTTCTGAATCTTACACAAAGTGATTGTTGTGAAGCAGATGGCAATATTATAGATCTTACTACAGATTTGGTAAGCACATCTGAATTTTCACAGAACAAAACCCCAAAAATAACGATGAGTGGAGATGGAAGAACTGTTGGGGAGGAAGCAAGAAATAAAGCTGGAACCCCTGTAACAGAGCTTACAAAACAAATGGATACAGTGTTTTCCAATGCACCAGGAAGAGGTTTTATTCCTATAAGTGGTGTGACTCCACTTGAGACATCTCTTTCCAAAGAGAGACAGTCATGTAAAAGAAGGTGTTCTGATGCTGAGGAAAGGCTTCCTAAGAAACAGTTTTCACTAGAAAGTGATCAGGAGGGCAGGCCTACACAATGTAGTGAAGATCCAGATGGGAGAGCAGTTGTTGATCTGACTTCTGATAATTGCAGTGAATTGGATGATCCACGTTTCTCTATTAAAGACTGCGAAGACATTAGTGAGGAAATGGAATACAAGATTCTTGTAAACTTTTTCAGGACCATGGGATATTCCCAAAAAATTGTAGAGAAAGTTATTAGTGAACTGGGACAATCAGTGGAACCATTAATGCTCCTGGAAGCAATAGAAAAGGAAAGTACAAAGTTTCAGAAGGAAAAAGAACAGTCACAGCAAATATCTAGATCTGTAAGTGTGCATTCAGGTGGTAATGCAGATCTTTCTCAGCCTCTGCAATATAGAGATTCTGTCAGTAAAAATCAACTTAAACCAGGTCATACTTTAAAGGAGATAAAAAATGTAAAACAAAGAGAAAATTCTCCATGTGCACGTCTTCTGCCAGAAGACAAAATGCATGCGTCAAGTTATAAAAATAAAATTGCTGTTCCTTGTGGTAAAAATTCAGCAGAGCATTGTAAACAAGTACACTTGAATTCTTTTGATCAAAGTCCCAGGACAAATGATATAGAGACTGATGGTCTTGTACCTTCTTCTAACATTTCACAAGAATTCATGAAAAATGGAGCACTAAAAAATGTTGACTTTGTTGCAAGAGGGAGCTCAGACAGAGCATGTGAATCAGTTCAGACTGAAACTGTAAACCAACAAAAATCTACACAGCTCTCGAATACACAGAATAGTCAACCTGATCAAATGGCGAGACCAGGACATTGCAATCCTTCTCAGCTTAGATTCCTCCACCAACCCTCTTTTGATATCCACAAACCTGTTGAATGTACTTTTCCAAACTCTGTATTTCCATCCCATCCACATGCTCCAAATCTAGAGAGGAAGCCAGCTGGACCATACAATCATCATACAGATGCCTCAGTTACTGGGATTCAAAGATTTATGGATTCTCTGAAAAAGCCATACAATTTGGAATTGAAAAATGAACCTGGGAAAGCATCTTTAAAATACATCATTATAGATGGGAGCAACGTTGCAATTTCGTAAGTATTGCTGGTTTGCACTACTTAAAGTGTCAATGAATTTCAAAGTGAAACTGTGAAGAATATAGCACGGCCTGGGTATAAAGGCCTTTCTTGTCAAAAAGTTTTGTTAACTTATCTCCATGTGACCAGTTATTTATTTACTACTCAGCTGAGTTTCCCACTAATCTTTTAGTAATGGGCTAATATGGTAAGAGATATAGGGGTGAATTCTTTCCATTGCAAACTATTTAAGCATGATAAATTTGATTTAATTGCCTGTTAAATTGCAATTCCTTCTACAGTTTTAGTATCTGTATCTTCCATATTCTAAGTATGTATAGCTTTGCTCTTTAAAGGTTGCCATGTTCCACTTAGTTCTTCAGAAATTCTTCTAGATACATACCTCAAATACTGTGCTGATGTGAGTGGTTTAAGAATATCAGTCCCTTTTCTGTGGTGAATGAAGCAGTTCCCATAAGAGTCTCTGTTTGGATGCATGGGGGGAAGGACTTTGACCTTATGCTAAATAGTTACTTTCTTTTTACTAAAACATAGAGATTTTTAGTATTTGATATGTTTTAATTATGATCTTTAATATTTGTAAGTCAATTAAAAGTAAGTACATACCAGTAACTAAGAAATTATATGCAGCCTAGAGTCCAAATTCAAAAAGAGGCAGCAAGCGGGGGGGGAGGGAAGAGGGTTACTTCAAAGTCACAGCACCACACAGAGCCATGGGTCAGCTGCTCCATGAGGTGCTTTTCAAAGCGGCAGCACTGCATGGAGCCCAGGATCACCTGGGGACTCCCCAGCTAACCCCAGTTTCCACGCAGGGGACTCTTGTGCATTTCAAAGCGCTAGTGCCTTTGTGGAGCCCAGAGTCAGTGGGACTTCCTGCTGGCCCTGGGCTCCACACCATGTTCCAACTTTGGGGCTCTTGTACATTTCAGAGGCGGAACACAAGTGCTTATTGACCAGTCAATACTGAATCAATGTAACTTAGGTAGACTTACAGCGGTGTCTACACCACACTGTGTTGACAGGAGACACTCCCCCACCAACTTAACTTCTGCGGTGAGGGAGGGAGTACATTGTCAGGAGAGTACTCAGCCTTTGACTTAGCCTGTCTTCACTAGACCTGCTAAATTGAAGCTGCTGCATTGATCACAGCAGTTGTAAGAATAGACAAGTCCTGTGATGGAACTTCTTAATTGATCTCTCATTTAGTTGATCTAATGCACTTCAAACTATGGAGTTTCCAAGCAAATTCTACTTTGGTATAGAATTCTTCACAACATTGGAATGTGAAAGTATGATCTAGGAGCAGTTTTCTTTATTAGGGAAGTGCTATTTTTCCAGGACTAGATTAGCTTCCTGCTGCTCCACTACCTAATATATGCAGGGCTTGACAAGTGGTAGTGAGCCCCGCTCGCCAGCCGCATGGTTTGGTGCGCTGCGCATGCATGGACCGAGGCTGTGGCACTCTGCCGAGCTAAAATCTACTCGCCATGCGAGTAGATTGCCATAATTGTCAAGCCCTGTGTGTGTGTGTGTGTGTGTGTGTGTGTGTTGTTTAGATTTCATCTCTGCATCTGAGAGCCAGTTTAGGAATACTTGAACAAACAGAAAGAGCTAAGATCAGCAAATATTTTCTTACCCTAACTTAAACCACGGTCAGGGTTTGGTTGTTCCTGGAAAACTTGAAGTGCTATGAATGGAACTGTTTTCCATAACATGGGAGAGGGCAGAGAGAGGAGAACGCAAAAGGGAGGGGCACAGAGAAGAGGGATGCAATACTTCATGGCTACTGGGGGGCAGCTGCAGCACCAAGAGAATGGCCAGCAGGGCTGGGGCTCTGCAATCTTGCTGGCCAGTACACCGGTAAGTTGTCTCCCCCTCCTCCCTGCCCCAACCTAGAGCCTGCAGACTGTGCGGGGAAGCTGTCCCTCCTTACCCCCATAGGTGTGTAAGTGAGTAGTTGAGTAGTCAGCTACCCAATAAGGCTAAGCTTATTGGGTAGCTAATCAAAATGACTACTTGCTTCTCTCCTCTTCCCCCTCCCCGTTTGCTTCCTCTATATCAGAGGCAGCAGGGTGGGAGGACAGGAGCCGGTGCTGGGGGCAGTCATCTTAAAAGCTGGTTCCCCCAGCACCATCTTGTTTTGCCTCCCACCGCGCTGCTGCCTCGATCTGCTACTGGGGCTTGTTGCAAGCAGGGACTGCTGGACCTGGCTTTTACTGCATTTTAAAATGCAGAGCTGCAGTGGTCCTGGCTCTGTACTGGCTCGTGTGGTTCGGGGACCTACCCCCCATTGCAGTTTAAATGTAGTAGGAGATGAGCGCCCAGGTCCTACTACATTTAAACTGCAGAACCACAGTGGGTTTAGCTCCTGGACCAGTGTGAGCTGGTACAGAGCACATTTTCTTATCAACTAATCATGTAGTTGATACAAATTGTATCGACTACATGACTAATCAGTTACCCACCTCTTAACATCCTTATACCCCTGAACTCTCATCCCGGCCTTTGTTTTTAAAAAAAAATGAAATAAAACATTTTCATTGATTTTTTTTTTTTTTAATTTATTTTATTTTATTACGTCAGTTAAAGATTCAAGCAACACCAGGTACATCTGCTAGAGCTAAGATAAGAAATAACTTTGTATTGAGCAACGAGAACAGAGAAACTGTCTACTAGAACAATACTTGCCTTATCATAAAACTCACCAGCAAAAGGTAAAAATTGATTCTTTAAAAAAAATAACAAAACAAAATTAAAAACAAAACCCTCTGGATTAATGGATTCCTGACAAGCTGGGGGCAGGGAGTAAGCACAAATACTAACTAAAGTGGTATAAAGGACCCAATTACAGCCATAAAACGTCAGTGGTAATCAGAGCACTTTCTAAGGTGCATGGCTATGCAGCTACCTAATAAGCCCCATGCAGGGAGTTGGGGCTGCTGTGCAAAGTTACCACAACTGTGGGAGAGATGCTCTCCCCCAGCCCCAGCGGTAGGGATGTAAGTGACTAGTTGAGTAGTGATTTGACTACCCAATAAGCCTACTCAATTATTTGCTTCTCCTCCCCCCCCTCCCCCCACCACCACCCTTGCTGCCTCTGATACAGAGTCAGCAAGGGAAGGAGCAGGAACTAGTACTGAGAGGAGCTGACTTAAAAGCCGGTTCCCCCAAGCACAGTCTCTGCAGTGTGTGGGGGAGGGGCAGGGAAGGCAGAGGCACAGCAGTCCGGGGACCTGGTGCAAGCTGGGACTGCTGAGTCCCAGCTTGCATCAGGTCCTGGACCTACCCTCCACTGTAGGTCTGTAGTTTAAATGTAGTAGGAGCTTCTTAATGTCCTCATAATCTGATCTGTTCATGATTACTACAGCACCTCCTCTACACAGACACCCCCTATAGCATGTTGTTTAGTGAATACACAAAAATTTGCAACTGGTAACCTATGACTTGTACTAAAAATACCCATGATTAAACATTGGAGTGAAGGGGTGCTAGGGAATACTGTTTCTGGTAGGGGCATCTGGAGGGTGGTGTTTAGGGCTAGTGGCACTTGCTGCCCTGAAATGTGGACCGCAGCTGCAAAGATTGTGGCTGTTTCAGCTGCCCAGGGAACACTGTCAGGAGTTTCCAGAGTGTCAGTTAGTGTAGCTGTCCCACCGGCCAACTGAGCAGCTGGCGCTGGCCTACAGAAGTCCCAAAGGTAATGGAAAGTCAGAGAATCCATGCCTTCCACAACCTTCGTGATCGACACACAACTTTTATGACTTATAGCAGCATTTCTAAAACTGTCGCATTTCTCAAACTTACAGGGGGGCCGCAGCTGGATCTGGGTTTTTTTTGCATTTGTGTCTCCCCGGCATCTCCAGACAGTCCGGGCTCCGTCCAGTCAATTTTCCCCTGCCGCATCTGGCGGGGGAGTGAAGAGCGCAGTAGAATCTAGTAAAGGGTGGTAGGAGGGGGCAGTTGCTGGGTGCCACGCTAGGGGGTTGCTGGGCTGGGTGGAAGCGGAGCATGCACTGCTCTGGCCCACCTGACCAGCAGAGACCATCAGCTGGCCACGTGATGCTTCCCCTGCAAGCTGCCAGCTGAGGCAGATTCTTCTTCAGTGCCTGGCTCTGTGGGGGAAGGAGGGGGAGAGGAGTGGGGAGATTTGATTGGAGCGGGGCTCCAGATGCTGAGGATGCCTGCCTGGGGGGAGGGGAGAGTGCTAGGGGGGCCTGGGTCTGACATGGGCGGAATGCACTGGG